TTCTTTCTTTCTTTCTTTCTTTCTTTCTTTCTTTTCTTTTTTTTTTTTTTTATAAAGATTTATTTATTTTATTTGAGTACACTGTCGCTTTCTTCAGACACACCAGTAGAGGTCATCAGATCTCATTATAGATGGTTGTGAGCCACCATGTGGTTGCTGGGAATTGAACTCAGGACCTCTGGAAGAGCAGTCAGTGCTCTTAACCACTGAGCCATCTCTCCAGCCCAGGCTCCCATGTTTCAATGTCACTCATTACTCTGAATTTGGCTGAACAGGGAGATAAGGCAAAGTCAGATACATGTTACACAGACCTGACAAATGAGTCGCCCACTCAGTACCCATGTCCCGAAAGGCCTCTGTGCTGACTACTCACTTGAAGGGACTAAAAAGCCAGTGCCGGGACAGGTGCTCCATGGAGTAGCCCCCAACCCAGTCAGCATCCAGCTTTTTCACACCCGCAATGAAATACACAATAAAGATCTGCAAACAGAAATGAAGCATGAATGGTTAAGCAAACAGAGAACCCTTGCCTTTCTGCAGGAGGTGCTGTGATTAACAGCACTGTGGCTCTTGTAGAGGGCCTAGGTTTGGTTCCCAGCACCCACATTAGGCAGCTCAGAACTGCCTGTAACTCCAATTCCAGGACACCTTCCTCTATCCCTGTAGGCACTGTATGCACATGGTACACATACAAGCAGGCACACACACATACGTAAGTAAAAAATAACAATTCTCATCTCAGCCAATGCCCAAGAAAGAACAGATTAATTCCTCTAACCTTTCCTCTCAAACATTCGTCCAACAAGCTCTAAAATTCAAATCCAATACATACAAGGTCTTACTCATTTCATAATGGGGTGAGAACTCAGAGACTGAGGAATTAGAAAAAAAATGGGAGGGCCTGTCTAGTTTTCTAACAAAAGGAATGAAGAAATAACCAGGGCTAACAAGATGGCTTTGTGGGTAAACATGCTTGCTGCACAGGGCTGACAGCTTGAGTCACTCTCTGGTAAAAAGGATGCAGCACTATGTATCTGTACTCACTGCTCCAGTGAGATGGGAGGCAGAGTCTGGAGAATCACCTGGAAGCTTTAGTGCTCAGCTAGCCTAGAGTATGTAGTAGGGCAGAAACATCACGACATCATGAGAGATACGGCCTCAACAAGTAAAGAGGAGAACCAACTCCCCAGAGTTATCCTTGGATTTCCACATGTATGCCATAGCACTTGCACAAATACACACACACACACACACACACACACACACAAAATAATAATAATAAATAATAATAATAATAATTAATATTGTTTTGAGATTAGGTTTCACTGTATAGTCCTGGCCGGCCTACTTCCTGAGTGCAGAGATTAAAAGTGTGTATGGCCATGCCTGGCTATATAAATAAATAATTCTTAAAAATAAGAAAGAATAGCTGGGCGATGGTGGTACATACCTTTGATCCCAGCACTCGGGAGGTAGAGCACGGAATCTTTGAGTTTGAGGCCAGCCTGGTCTACAGAGTAAGTTTCAGGACAACCAAAGCTACACAGAGAAACTCTGTATTAAAACAAGACAAACAAACAAAAATCACAAAGCAAGAAAGAATGTAGGGAGGCAGGAGAGGGCCTCTGACCACTGCTGACCATAACAGGTTACAGGGAGTCCCTTCCTCATCTTGAAATCCTGTACCTTGGCTAGGAGGTGCACAGTGGGTAAAGCATTCTCCACAAATGCATGAGGGCCCAAGGTTAATCTCCAGGACCCATGTAAAGTAAGGTAAAGTATTATCCATCTGTTCTTGCAGCTCCCAAAGTGAGATAGGAGACAGGGGAGTCCCTGGAAGCTCATAGGGCAGCCACAAACAAACAAACAAAACGGTGCTGAATCAAGGTGGACATCACACACACACACAAACACATACACACACACACACATACGCACGCACACACCTGGCCACGCAGGACTGTGTAGTTCCAAAGGGGCACATGAGCATTCTTCTTTCGGGCATTCAGCAGGCCATCCACAGACCTATAGGAAGGAGGAGGTAAAAACATCAAGAAAGGCCTGAGTCCAGCCACATTCCCGCCCTACAATTAGGCCGGTCTTATCTATCTCAGAAATAGCTCTCATGGCCGCTCTGATTCTCTGGGCTACTCTGAGGCCCTCTTGAAACACATGAGTAAATCTTCCCGGGACATTATGTTGAGAAGGGAGTCTTTCATATCACAGATTGATCTCAAACTCACCAGGTAGCTGAAACTAGCCTTGAACTCCTGATCTCCCTGCCTCAACTTCCCAAGTGCTAGGTTTCAGGAGTGTGCTGCCATGCCTGAAATATGAATGCATTGTAACGGTAATTACTATTAAGACCATGAAAGAATACTACTATAGATGTTCTGTAGCTTATAAAGTATTATCCCAGTAAACCCATTATATGCTGAAAATAGCCTTAATTTTAAAATGTATTTGATATGCCTTTAATCCCAGCACTTGGGAGGCAGAGGCAGGCAGATTTCTGAGTTCGAGGCCAGCCTGGTCTACAGAGTGAGTTCCAGGACAGCCAGGGCTACACAGAGAAACCCTGTCTCGAAAAACCAAAAAAAAAAAAAAAAAAAAAAAAAGTATTTGATATACATAACCTACTAAGTATCACAGCATGGCCTATACACTACACTATGTTAAATGTACTCAGAGAAAATTGCAATAGCCTACAGTTGGGCAAAATCATCCAGGACAAGGCCTATTTTATCATTCAAAGGGCTGAATTAGTGAATACTATGTCATCTAAGTAAGAGAGTAGTACAGGTGTGATGGTTTGTATATCCTCAGCCCAGGGAATGGCGCTTTTTAGAAGGTGTGGCCCTGTTGGAGTAGGTGTGTCACTATGGGTGTGGACTTTAAGACCCTCATCCTAGCTGCCTGCAAGTCAGTATTCTGCTAGCAGCCCTCAGATGAAGCTGTAGAACTCTCAGCTCCTCCTATACCATGCCTGTCTGGATGCTGCCATGTTCCTTCCTTGATGATAATGGACTGAACCTCTGAACCTGTAAACCAGCCCCAATTAAATGTTGTCTTTATAAGAGCTGCCTTGGTCATGGTGTCTGTTCACAGCAGTAAAACCCTAAGACAACAGGTATGTGCTCACTACTGTGTGAAAAAACACTGAAGAGGAACCATTAAGTCAGAGTCTATCTATCGTCAGTCATAAGAATAAAAACTTCAGTGCAGCAGGACATAGTGGCACATGCCTACAGTCCCAGCACTTGGAAGACAGTGGCTGGAGAACTGCCAAAAGCTTGGAGCCAGAATGATGTACATGCAATGAAAGCCTGGCTCAAACGAAGCACACATACACAGTGTTTTCTATTAGCTTACTCTTCGGTTTGTCCCAGTGAATCAGATCAAGTTCAAAGTTATACTAGAAATGAAACGAATGAATGAGTTTGACAAGTAGGCAATCTGAGTTCAATTCCTGAAGCCCACAACAAGGTGGGCCATCTTCTGACCTCTACACAGGGACCACGGCTTGTGCACCCTTGTTCCCCTATACCATGTGCTCCCAACCTCACACAATAATAATACATTCAATTAAAAACTAAAAATAGACCTCGCATAGTACACACACTTTCAGTTCCTGCACTCAGGAAGGCAGAGGCAAGCAGATCCCCATGAGTTTGAGGCCGGCGTTGTTTACAGAGCAAGTTCTAGGACTACATAGTAAGACTATGGCTCAAAAAAAAAAAAAGTAAATATATTAAACAATATAAACAATAAAATCACAAAACAGGGGACTGGATAGTTAAAAGCACTGGCTGCTCTTCTACAGGACCTGGGTTCAAGTCTCAGCATTCACACAGCAGTTCACAACTGCCTGTAACTCCAGTTCCAGGAAATCCAGTACCATATTCTGACCTCCACGGGCACCAGGCACACACATGGTACACATACATACAGGTCAGCTAAATACACATACACATGAAATAAAATTAAAACACACACATACACACACATACAGTGCAATATCTTTTTTATTTTGAATTAGCTTTTTGAGACAAGGTCTCTCTTTGTAGTCCAGTCTAGACTGGTCTAGAAATTACCATGTAGCCCAAGCTATAATCCTCATGCCTCACATACACACACATACAGTGCAATATCTTTTTTATTTTGAATTAGCTTTTTGAGACAAGGTCTCTCTTTGTAGTCCAGTCTAGACTGGTCTAGAAATTACCATGTAGCCTAAGCTATAATCCTCATGCCTCTGCCTCCTCAATGCTGGGAATAAAGGTATGCACCATCACATTCAGTGACAGTAAAAAAAAAAAGGAGGGCGGGGCTGGGAAAGTCGCCCAGAGACTTTAAGCACTTGCCTAGCATGTATAGGTCCCTGAGTTTAATCCTCACCTCAGAGGGGTAAAAAAGGAAAAATAAACTTAAAACACTCTCCGGCAAAATAATGCAGAGCATAAACTAACATTTATAAAATTGGATGCCAGGATCCAGTGCTAAAGAACTTCTGACTTTAAATTTTATCCTGAGAGAAAATGGAGAAGACAGGCTACTGGGCTGGAGAGATGGCTCAGTGGTTAAGAGCACTGACTGCTCTTTCAGAGGTCCTGAGTTCAATTCCCAGCAACTACATGGTGGCTCACAACCATCTGTAATGGGACCTAATACCCTCTTCTGGTGTATCTGAAGAGAGTGACAGTATACCCATATACAAAAAATAAAATCTTTAAAAAAAAAAAAAAAAAAAAAAAAAGACAGGCTACTAACTCCAGATTTCCTCTGAGGCAGAAACCAGGCAGGCTGTGAAAAAAAAATTAGGGAGAGTGTGGCTTCCACTGTGATCAAAAGCACCAGCCTTGTAGTCAAGGACAACCAAGCCTCATTTGTCACCTCCCTGTTGTCTAAATTTAGGCAGATTCTTTATTTCCATAATACTTACTTGTTCAGCTCTAGGGAGCTCGTGTGTGTGTGTGTATGTGTGTGTGTGTGTGTGTGTGTGTGTGTGTGTCTGTTTTGAGACACAGTCTCATTTTATGGGAGACCCATGCTGGCCTCTAATTCAAAGCAACCATCTTGCCTCAGCAGCCCAAAGTGCTGGGAATGAGCACCTAAACCCGACTCTTCATAGGGTTTTAATGAAGAAAAAAATGTAAATACACCCACTACATACAAAGCCCTGAGTATACGATACGTAATTTTAAAAAATGTCTAAAAGACACAAAAATGGAAGTTGGATGTGAGAGTGAGCTGTCAAAGCAACTTCTTAATTCTCTGTATCAAAATTGGACATCCTGAATTGGTTTCAAGTTTGACACAGGCAGGGAATGGGGACTGGGGTCACAGCCTGGAAGGGGCGGACATGCTTAGCACACAGGAAGTCGGGAGCAATCCCCTGCCCCGTGCACACATACAAGGCTTTACGGGACAGACTCAATGTGCTCGTGCGTCAGTGGTGAACCATCTCTATCTACCTCACCGTGGTTCCACAGCCGCAACTCACTTAATGAGGGGAAAGATCTTAAGGTCTCGGGACCCACCACCCTGGCTCCAAGGCTTGTCCCCACTTCCTCCGATAGATGGTCACCCAGGCCAGAGATGCAGTAGGTTACTGTCTCCTTCGACAGCACTGCTCAACAACCTCGGAAGCCCTGTCCTTTGGGTTCTGCTATCATTTCCACCTCACAGCAACTTCTATGCTTGGCTCTAATTCTGCTTCTCTGGGCTCACACACAGAAAGCAAAGTCTGAACCCCAGGAGTATCTGAAAACAGCTATGTCTGCCTTTAGTCTTCTCTTCTTCTAAGAGGGTTACGGGAGTGGATATATCAAGGCACCTGGAGAGATAGGAAAACAGTGAAGGGGTAGGATGGACATTTTCCTATGTTCCTGCAGTCTCCCAACTTGTTGGTCCTTCCCCTTCCCAAATCCATCCAAGTCAGGCAGCTGAGCGGGCAAGGGCATTCACCATCAAGCCTACTGATCTGAGCTGGATCCCCAGAACCCACATGGAAGAAAGAGAACAGGCTCCCCCAAATCCATCTAAGTCAAAATATAACCTTATAACCACATTTTGCAAAACTTGGTTAAGAATATGTCTACTGGGCCAGCATGATGGCTCACACCTGTAATTCAAGCACTCAGGAGGCTAAAATAGGTGAACAGCCAGTTCAAGGCCAGCCTAGACAACACAGTGAGTTCCAGACCAGCCTGAGATACAGGAATACAAACCACACCTCTCCCTTCCCCAAAAAAAACAGAACATCAATAAAACTTGTGCCCACGGAACAGTTCCCAGGACGTCCCTGGGTCCCATCTCTATCTTCCTGTAAGCATCCTGACCCACACACCTTCCCTGTATTTCCCAAGGCACATACCAGTAGTGGTTTGCATCCATGAATGTCAACTGAAAGGCCAACAAACCATACAGATAGGAGTGATTGTTCCACGATGTCTTGTCCAGGAGAAACACGTACCAGTATGGGAGCAGGAATAATACACAGCTTAGCCGGTAGCACAGGCCCAGCATCATGCCCAGTGCCCCTGGGGATTTGTGAGGAGAGGGTTCAGGTCAAAGTGTCACCACAGGCCCAGCTTCCCTGGGACTGAAATTAAGAAAAGTCAGCAGGCATTTTATAATCAGGCAGAGAACTACATGGGAGAAGAGTTGTAGGGTCATGATGGCTCATATGACACACAGACGAACAGTAAGAAACTGAATTGCAGCAGACATGAAACAGGCACCCAATGACTTGGCACACCAGCATGCTTCTAGTGAGGGTCTCACAGGCCAGTCAATACTCCCTGGTTCAGACCCCCAGCACTCAGTTCCCCTCACCCAGAAACATGATGGTGTAGACAAGGTACATCCAGTCAAGTGGCAGCGGGCGCAGGGCATCCAGCAAGGGGAAACGGCACACATCCAGACCATCCAAGTATTTCCGGTCCAGAGAGCTAAGGCCCCGTTCCTGGGGAATGTCCAGCAGCATCAAGAATGCTGGAAAGGCAGGAGAAGACAGCTGTTAGGCATCCACTAAGGAAGCAAGACACAGCTCTGAGCACGCCCAGCTCCATGCTTGCAGTGTAAGACCACCCTGGGCTACACAACAACAGTCCCTACTATATGTACTGAGCCTATCCGTGCTAAGCGTTATGCTGGTTGTGTGGTGTGACAAATCCTAAAGCTCTGTGAGCTGACCTGAACCTGTAACAAGCATGCTCAGACCCTGAGCATGGGTGGGGAGGTTGGAGAGACTTGAGCAACCATAGGACTGCGGTTCAGAGCCCAATATGCATGTAACAAGCTGGGAACTCTGTGCACATCTTTAATACCAGCAATGAAAGGGGTAAAAATAGGAGGCTTGCTGGCTCCCTGGTTTCCTGCTTACTGAAAAACTGCAAGCCCCCGGGGCTCAGGAAGAGATCCTGCCTCAAAGAAACCAGTGGTGTGGGACAGAAATCATTTGCTGGTGTCTGTGCTCATGCTCAGGCTTCTACCTGTTCACACACGTACATATATAATCACACACACACACACACATCTATAACTGTGTGATATGTATATACCTATAACACTGATAAATAAATCTTTAAAAGAAAAACTTTACAAGCCAATATGCCTTCATTCACTGGGAAGGCAGAGGTAAGCAGCTCTCTATGAGTTCTAGGTCAACCTGGTCTACATAGTGAGTTGCTGGGCCATCCAGGACTATATATCCAGGACAGTGAGATCCTGTCTCAAAAAATAAAAACAAACAACAAACAAGACAAAAATAATGAGATCTCACAGGGTTGCAGATAGGATTAAATAAGATCCATATACAAAACACTGTAGAAACGTGGGGTTCAAGTACTTACATCTATAGATACACCCTGCTGAGCTATAAAAAGTGTCCCAGGGGGACATCCTAACATTTTTTTAAAAAACTTCCTGACACACCCAGGAAAGCAGTGGTATTTGGTCAACACACTAAGACAAATAAGGGACACTCAGGTCTGGAAAACAACTTGGGTTCAAGCAGGGTTTCTCAATCCCTGGAGCAGCTGCATTAGCCAGCCTGGTTAATTATCTATAGGGATATTTACCCATTCATTACAAGACATCCAGTGTATCCTGGTACCAGCACAAATTCCAGCAACCACCCATTTCTCTTCTCCAAAAGCTGACAACTAAAAAAGTTCTCTAGGTTGCAAAGTGGCTCCCAGCTGGAAACTACTGTACTTAAAGGCACATCTTGGCACATCTGTAACCCTGTGAGTTGTTACCCTGTCTGAATTGCTTAGCATAGCTTCTGAGCAGCTTCATGACATGAACAAAATGTGTCCCTTGTCAGGTGTGATGGTGGTCCCAGCATTTGAGAAACAAGAGGAACACTTAAGAGGCAAGGCAAGCCTGGTCTACATAAGGCAAAGAGAGCTGGAGAGATTACTCGATTGGTAAAAATCAAAGTTCGTGCTATAAGCATGAGGGGCTGAGTTCAAATCACTAGCACCCATGCACAAAGCCTGGCACGGACGCTATCAATCTCAGGGCAGTGGAAGCTGAGAGACAGGATGACCCCTGGAGCTTGGAGCCAGCCAGTCTACCTCAATTGGTGAGCTCCAGGTTCAGGAGAGAGAGAGAACCCCTTCTCAAAAACTAAGATGGACAGTGGTTGAGGAAGCCACCTGACATTGATCTCTGACCTAAACACACCACAAGCGTGCGCACACGCACACACACAGAGGCATACACATGTTCCTCTACTTCATGTGTCCAAAGCATTTCTGAACACTAAAGCCTAACTGGAGGTGACAAGGCCAGATAATTCTAAACTTCCAAAGAATTCTTCCATTATTCCAATACCTTCAGCTCTAAAGAAAAGAGAGCATCTAAGAAGTAACTAAGAACTGGCAACTAGGCTAGAGAGAACGGGTCAGCAGTTAAGAGCATGCAACTGATCTTCCTTTTTTCTTTTTTTCCTTTTTTTTAAAAAAGAATTATTTATGTTATGTATATGAGTACACTATAGCTATCTTTTTTTTTAAGATTTATTTATTTATTTATCTAATGTATAGGAGTACACCATTGCACTCTTCAGACACACCAGAAGAGGGTATCAGACCCCATTATAGACGGTTGTGAGCCATCATGTGGTTGCTGGGAATTGAACTCAGGACCTCTGGAAGAACAGTCAGTGCTCTTAACCACTGAGCCATCTCTCCAGCCCCTGTAGCTATCTTCAGACACACCAGAAGAGGACATCAGATCCCATTACAGATGGTTGTGAGCCACCATATGGTTCCTGGGAATTGAACTCAGGACCTCTGGAAGAACAGTCAGTGTTCTTAATAGCTGAGCCATCTCTCCAGCCCACAACTGATCTTCCAAAGGACCAGAGTTCAGTTCCCATCATCCTTATCAGGAAGCTCACAACTACCTGTAACTCCAGCTCCAGGGATCCAACTCCCTCTTCTGGATTCTACAAGCAAGCACGCGCCTGGCATACACAGAGAGTGCCCTAGTTAGTCTTTGTCACCTAAAAACAAGCTAGAAGGTCTCAACTGAGTAAATGCCTGGAAGGAATAGGCCCATAAGCATTAATGTCAGAGGGCACAGCCTCTTGTGGGTGGTGTCACCCTGGGCAGGTAATCCTTACAGGTAGAAGCAAGCAGGCTGAGTAAGCCATGAGGAGCAAGCCAACATCAACAACGTTCCTCCATGGCCTCTTCTTCAGTTCTGGTCTCCAGATTCCTGTCCTGACTTCTCTTCAAGATGGACTACAACTGTAAGCTGAAATGAACTTCTTTTCCAGCTTGCTTTTTGTCATGGTGTTTTTATCACCGTAATAGAAAACAAGCTAACACACACATACACATAAACAAAATAATAATAAATCTTAAAAAGAAGTAAGATGTCATTTTCCAACCACCACCACCTCAACCAAAAAATCCAGAAAATGGACTTACCAAAGAGAAAACGAAAGGCAGCCAGGTTTGCAGGGTCTGTTGGTCGATTAAGCAGGGTTACAACACTCTGCCAGCTAGATAAATCTGTCCACTCAAACCCTAAAATTTTCTCCATTCGGCTGCCCTGTTTCAGTCCTGACGTCTGTGCAGACTTGTTTTTCTGTACTTTATCTACAAACCAAGAATTGGGGTAAAAAAGTACGTAGGAAAACCACAGTCCCTACAGCCTAGGATCTCCACCCACTGAGTTCTCCCACTGATCCAGCTAGGGCAAGCTTCTGGGTTCCAGGCCCTCCTCCAGGTTCCTCCTCCAATCTTCCAACACAGACCGCCATCTCTTTCAATAAGCCCCTTCCCCACTAAGACCACCATCCCTCTCGCCAACCCTTAGCCTACCTGAGGCGGGAGCGGCCCGTGCAGAGCCGCGGTGTATAGCCATGACTGCAGGGATAGGTGAACCTCTCTACAGCCAGGTGGGAACCAGTGGAACCTCCAGACTTAGACTTGCTGTCTTAGGCTCCGCCTCCTCGACACGTAAGCCCTCGTGCGGCCAGCCGGAAAGCGCCCGCACTGTCGTGAAGGCCGGGACTCAAGCGTGGGGGCGTGGGCTAGGGGTGTGGGCGGGGCGATCCTGGGCAGAGGACTGGGTTAGGTGGCAGGAGTTTTGGGGATGGGCAGTGTAGGAGAAAAGGGGCTTGCTAAATCTAACCTTGACATTGAGAAGAAAGAGTGACCGTTTTCAGAACAAGTGTCTCTATACTACTAGCTATCCATCACGTACTTGAGCTTCAACCCCGACGCCTGTTTTGTTGTTTTTGTGACAGGATCTCTTTTTGCAGCTCAGGCCTTCCTGCAACTCACTTGTGTAGACCAGACTGGCCTCAGATTTACACAGATCCACCTGACTCTGCTTTCAGAGGGTTGGGATTAAAAGCAAGAATCACCATGCTGGGCTTGCCTGCTTCTAAGACAGAACTAGCCTCGAACTCCCAAGGACCCTCCTGCCTCTGCCTCCCACATGTTAAGATCACAATACTAAGAATTTTAAGTTCCTTGTGGGCCGGGCAGCGGTGGCGCACGCCTTTAATCCCAGCATTTGGGAGGCAGAGGCAGGCGGATTTCTGAGTTCGAGGCCAGCCTGGTCTACAGAGCGAGTTCCAGGATAGCCAGGGCTACACAGAGAAACCCTGTCTCGAAAAATAAATACATACATACATAAATAAATAAATAAATAAATAAATAAATAAATAAAGTTCCTTGTGTTCTTCCTGAGCTCCATCCTGTCCCCGCACCGGCCCTGGGATGTGTGCTAGGAACAGACCTGTGTTTTCCAAAGAGCTGCGAGCTGTTTTGGCAGTTGAGCATCTCTCCAGCCCCTGTTTTGAAGAGCTTTGTGTTGAGAATATTTTAAAATGAGTATATAGGGATGGAGAGAAGAAAGCAATTCAGAACATGTATGGTCTTGCTCTTGTAGAGAAACTGAGTTTGGTTCCCAGGATCCCCATCAGGTGTCTTTAATTCCAGTTCCTGGGGCATTCCAGGCCTCTGGCTCTGAAGGCACCTGCAATTGCACATTTCCTCACACAGACATATACACATAACTAAAAATAATATAAAATAAATTTCAAAAAAACATACATCAATGCTAACTCTGGTGGTGCAAGCCTGTAACCCCAACCCTCAGAAAGTGGAGGCCGAGGTGGAGTAATAGGAGTTCAGTGCTATCATTTGGTATGTGGTAAGTTCCAGGCCAGCCTATCTAAAAACCAAGCCAAATGAAAGACACAAAAAAACAACATTATATATAGCATACACATATAGAAATGTGTTTATTTATTTAAATACAATTTAAAAGTTGTTCCATGTTTAGGTAAATTACATCTGTAACTCAGTAAAATCACTGGTCTAGCATGTGTGAGACCTAGTGTTCAATCCATCAAGTATTCCAAATTTTTGTGGAAAATTAGTACAGTTTTTAATCTGACCATTAGGTCCTCAAGAGACAGACCTCCTCAGAGCCAGACACTGTTGCAAAGCTGGTGTGAAATGAAGACAGGCTTTTCCCAATGCCCAGATGAGAGCTTGGAAGGATGGCTCATTGGTTAAGAGCCCTGGCTGATCTTCCCGAGGTTTGAGTCTCAACAGCCACATTGTGGCTCACACCTATCTATAACTCCAGTGCCAAAGGATCTGATGACTTCTTTTGGCCCACGTAGGCATCAGGCACACATATGATACAAAGACATGCATCCAGGTAAAACATCCATACACAGAAAAAAAAGTTAACTCTTCTAGTTTAGAAAAGTTTTGGCTTGACTTTTGAACACACATTGAGCCATGCGAAGAGGTGAAAAGCACAGACTACGCCTCTGCGACAGATTAATGAGGAACTGGAACTTGAGCTGCTCTGTGGGTCTCTGGCCTGGTGTCCTTCAAGTCCTGCTGATCTGTTTTCTTGACCAGCTACAGTTATGAGATATGGAGATAGTGTCATATATATATATGTGTATATATATATATATATATATATATATAGTGTATATCAGAGTGCTATATTCTTTTTGATAATTTACTTCCCTACAGGCTACCCCTTCTAGCCACAAAAATTCATTAGGTTAGGTAACAGTGGTGCTCCAGGACTAGGGAGACAGAGGCAAGAGGATGTTTGTGAGTTCGAGGCCAGTTTGGTTTACAGAGTGATTTCCAGGATAGCCAGGGCTACAAGGAGAAATACTGTCTCAAAACAAAAACAAAAGTATTATTCAGGTATTCAGTTATGGGGGCATTTGTCTTGACACCATAAAGTCAGTGTTTTTCTGTTTTAACTATTTTTTAAATGTGTGTGTGTGTGTGTGTGTGTGTGTGTGTGTGTGTGTGTGCGTTTATGTCCACAGAGCCCATGGAGCTGGATCACAGGCAGTTATCAGCTGCCTGGTATGGGTGCTGGGACCCGAACTTGGTTTCTGGAAGAGCAGCAAGTGTGCTTAACTGCTGAGCCGTATCTCCAACCTCACATTAATTATTACTAAAGTTCTTTAATCTACTTGTTCACTGCTTTGTGATCCAAACCCAGATGACCCCCTAGAGACTGTAGCTAGGTACACAGACTATTTCAAGAATAGACTCGGAGGCATGCCATCTGATAAGACCTTAAGGTGAGTATAACCTGGATTGTAGGTGAAGTGGACTTTTAAGTCACCATTCCTGTTTTAATCCTTTTATCTGGCTCTTCTCCTAACAGACCTCATCTTTGTAAATTTTGCTTTTGTTAATCTCTGTCCATTCATTCACATGCTCATATGAGAAGACTCAGCTCTTCCAGCTTTGGACAAAAGAGCTTTGAGGAACTGCAAAGTGGTTACCAGAGAACAACTGCTCAAGATTCAGAGGGGGAAAAAAAGCAGACAAACAAAAATACCCAGTGTTTTTTAAACGCAGCAGAGGTGGCTGGAGACAACTGAGATCACAGCTCTCACCTCTCAGCCTCTCATCAGACGGTTATGATGACAGAGATCTCAGAAACACTTGCTGCTCTTATACAAGACCAGAATTTGGATCCCAGTGTCCATGTTAGACAGCTCACGATTTCCTGTAACAGCTCTAGGGGATATCCTCCATAGATACCTGAATTCATATTTATACACACACACACACACACACACACACACACACACACTTATAAATAAAACAAAATGGCCGGGCGGTGGTGGCGCATGCCTTTAATCCCAGCACTTGGGAGGCAGAGGCAGGCAGATTTCTGAGTTCAAGGCCAGCCTGGTCTACAGAGTGAGTTCCAGGACAGCCAGGGCTATACAGAGAAACCCTGTCTCGAAGAAACCAAAAAAATAAAAAAATAAAAATAAAACAAATCTTTAAAAAATGGAACATGTGTATCCAAGGTAAGATGTTTGCAAGGTTTGGATCCCTCACACTCATATAAAAACCAGGTCTGGTTCTGGAGCTATGAGACCCTGGTCGTGAGGGATGGAGAGACTGATCATAGCCACAGCTCACAGAATCGAGCTAAGCAATCAGTGAGCCCAGTCTCAAAGAGATCAGGCGGAGGATTGGGGAGATGACTCAGTGAGTTGTTACTGCTATTGCAGAAAATCAAGGTTTGGAGCAACCACACGGTGGCTCCCAACCATCTGTAACTCCAGTTCTAAGGTATCCTGACTCCCTCTTGTGGGCTCCTGGGGCACTGCATGCACGTGGTGCATGGACATATATGGCAGGAAAAACAAACATATAAAATACAAATAAACAGCACACCTTTAATCCCTGCACTGGAGAGGAAGAGGATCTATGCGAGCTTAAGGGCAGCCTGGTCTAATACAAAATGAGCTCCAGGATAGCCAGGGTTACACAGACAAACCTTGTCTCGAAAGACCAGAATGATAACAATAAAATAATAATAAATCTTTTTAAAGCTCAGTCATAAAACACCAGCCATTAACCTCTGGGCTACACCCACATGCATGCATGTTCACACATATACACCCACATACATGCATGTGCACACACATACACCCACATACATGCATGTGCACACACATACACCCACATACATGCATGTGCACACACATACACGCACTGGGACATGTGCATTATGTGGCCAATGTCTTCACTCTAACTTGGTTTTAGATAATCATTCCTCACTTCCCTTACAAGCTGGAGAACAAACCTGAGGCAGAAAAAGATGGATTGCTCAGGGTCCATCAAAGGAAGCAGAATTCCTCTAGTGGTATCCATTCTTCTCTACACCTTAGTGTTAGAGGCTTGAGTTACAGGACAAATTTTATGCTCATAACTGATGTATCCGGTTAATTGATGTTGAATTCATATCAGGGAACAGAAAATGCATTGTGCAATACATATCAATAAAAGAATGTCCTGCTTTTGTTCCAGAGAGAATAGAAATTAGAAATCAAACACGTTTAGTGTTCCAAAATTGAGTCTCAAAATATTTTGTAATTTTCATTTAAATTGCTAAGAGGCTTGATACTATTGGCTAATATGTCTTCCAATACATCGTGTCTTGGTTAGGTTTCTATTGCTGTGACAAGACCCCGTGACCTAAAGCAACTTGGGGAGGAAAGGGTTTATTTCAAGTCATAGTTCCACATCACAGTTCATCACTGAGTGAAGTCAGGGTGGGATCACGAGACAGGATCTGAAGAACAGGTGCATGTAATTTTAAAAATCGCTGCTGCCTTTCCCAGGAGCTGCCGCACTACCAGCCCCTCCCATCTTTCCTTTTGTTCCACCTGGCTTAGCTCCTGATCTGGCCACCACCAACCCTAACCAAGATTCACTTTCAACCCACCCTTGCTCCGGGAAGGGTCGTGATACCAGCTCCCACCCAAGACCCTTGAATCCATGGATAAAAAACACTCCCACACGGCTTGTTGCTTTTTGTCTTGCCTACTAGTCACCGTTGCTGGGCGCAGATAACTCCCACCTAGAAAGGCGTGCCCTTACCAACTTATTATCTCTGCCTCTTCTTCCTCCCTAAACTT